TTTATATATATAATATATATTAATTTCTTTACTGCTTTCATCAGACAAAGCAATTAGTCTTTTCACTAAATGAGGTTGTCACCTTTTGGTTCATGGAAACATTATTGTGATCGTCACGGGTATGTCCGGTGTATTGGAAAAAGAATTCGTTATCCGAATTCAAACAACCAATTATAATGTACACACAACCACTTAGCATATATTGAGATTTACGAAATCTAAGGCATTCATTTAAAAGACATGAACATTCTATTGAGTATTATTGGCAGATGAAACCACACACCCAAACATGCATAACACATTTAACCAAAGTCTTTCTTCATATACATATCCACACAAAAACACTTGCAAAAGTCCACCCGTAACTACATAAAATCTAAATACACACTATAAGCATATTATATATAACAATTACATAAAAAAGCTGAAAGAAATCAGATGATTCTTCACATACGAAGATATATATATATATATATTTAAAGTTACAATCAATAATTCAAATACATACCTGCAAGTGTCAATCAATCCGAAGATCACTATGTCCCCTTTGTGATTTGGACAAACAAAATACTTACAATCGGTAGGCCTACCACTAAAAATCAAACCCTATTCAACTTACAATGTACGTTCCTTTCTAATGTTGAATTGAGTGCAAACAATGAACATGATCCCACAAAATTACAAATTTTTACCTACTAGCTAAGAAGATCCCTCAAAAATAGAATCATATTCTGGTGCATCAATCCAAACAACTTCTCGAGGCAATACTTGAGGTCCGAGAAAAAGGTGTCTTCTCTCGTCCATCCTGGCATGTTATCAAAATTTTTTTCTTAAATTGGATGAGTTGACCCGTAGGAATTGTTAGCCCTCCTGAATCTGTCACCATCAACCAATTAAATTTCACTTTTATCTAATTTATATATTGTTATGGGACAAACAACACAGGTCCAAATAAGAAAGATGTCTCCTCCCCAAATCGAGCGTCGATCAATCCACTAAGATGAATGAAGAAATTTGATAGCGCTAATCCTGTCACTATCCTTCCTGATCTATAGTCTGAAAAGGTTTCCTTGCTGATGGTGGAGTTTAACAAGCGGAGATTGAGAGATACATTAAATCCTTAAATCAATTTTACAAAACCTACCTCAGAGTACTCTTTGATTCGTCATCCGCAAAACCAACACCTATCTCGCCACCATTGCATCCATCGCCCAACAATATATTCTCAATCCTCAGCCAAATCTTCTCACTATCTTTTTGTTCCATATTGTGCAGTCAAAATCTCATTTTGCCTTTCTCATATCTCCAACTTAAGCAACCAAAACAAATAAACAAAATTAAGCAAACAAATCAACTGGAAATGAAAAAATTCAAAATAATTAGAATATGAACCTCAAAATAGCTCTTAGAAAGTATACAATAACCCTATCTAAAAGTGGAAGATTTTTATAGTACTAAGAGGATGGTTCTAGAACGATTCTATTTATTTTTATTTATTTAATTATATTTTGATTTATTTTAAGATCTTTCTACAATTTTTATAGTAGCAGATGATTCTACAAGGATTTTGGACTATTTCTACTTAATTTTATTTTAAATATAATTAAAATAGTTAATATTTTTAGTAATCATCTTTAATGCTAAAAAAAAAATTCAGTACATATCTGTGTGGATATATATATATTTATTAATTTATTTCAGATTTTCTATAGTTTTTAATATTATTAAAGCAGTTAATCTTTTACAATTTAATATATTTATTATATATCTATAAATACATTTCTGCAGTTTTTAGTTACTTTTATTTTTATAAATTTTTCATATTTATTTTATATATATCACTTTAATTTTTTTATAATTAATAGTATATTTTTTGTGCTTTTTTATTTGAAATAAAAAAAAGTTTGCAATGCAGCCCGCACGTTTACAATAAAAAAATATATTATTTACTCTTATAATATATCATCTATTAGAAAAAATATTGATAATTGCGGAAATTTATCATAGATTTTAATTTGTGACAATTAAAAGTCGGGAAGAGCAATTTCGTGATAAATTTATGTCATAATTTCTTGCTTTGATTGTACCGAGGGTAATATTTATAGAAAAAGTTACAAGTAACTTTCCGTGACTATTTAAAAGAACGGCTTATGTAACGAATATGTCCAAAGATATTTCTATTTTGTATTTTTTTTACTATTTCGTCACCAATATTGTCACAAAATTTTTTGTGACTAATTTAAGTTACGGAACAAATACCAAAAATATTCAAAATTGATATAAGTATTTTAATTGATTTTTTTTTTTAAGTATTCATGACTATTTAAAATTATGATATAAGTACTGTAATATTCGTAAAATCTTAATTCTATATTTATTTTTATAAGAAAATAATAACTACTTGTGGATACATTATACATAATTTTAATTATTTTTTATTCTATTTAATTAATAGATATTAATTTAATTTACTTTAGATATTGATGTAATACAATATTTAACTATTTATAGTTATCATATCGATAATAGATTTAAATGCATTGTTAACTTTGAAACTTTATAATTGGTGGACAATTGATGAAATTCAATTATTCATTTGTAACACTAAAAAATATATATTAAATAAATTTATTAATTTTTATATTTTCAATAAATACTTCAAATTAGATAGCTAAGTCGGCATGATAGGACATAGCTTCCGAGTTGCAGATTAAATTTAAAAATAGTGTGGTTAGTGGTTAGTGGTTAGCTTAAGACATGCAGATTTATATGATAAATAATGGTGCGTGGCTGCATTAAACAATAATTATAATATAATCATATTAATTTTTCAAAAATATAGTCTCAAAATTGTTACAACTTTTGTTGATATAAAGTCACGAAAGTGTAATAATATTATTTTATAACTTATTGTCACAAAAATGTCACCATTTAAAGTCACGAAATTTTATTGTAGTTTCTGTTGCTATAGAAAATCACGGACGCCATGGTATTACTTTGTAATATTTTATCACAAAATTGTCACCAATTTAGAAAAACTCACTAACAAAATTCCACGAAAATAGTTTCGTATATTTTACTGTGGCTTTTCAGTAAAAAGTTACCAATTTGTACTAAAATCGTGATTTTTGTTACCGCAACTTTAGCCCAATTTTATGGTAGCGATCACACAAAATACTATTTAAATCAAAATTCAAATAAAAAAAACTCAATTTCGATAATTCTATCATAATCACATGAATAGTACTATAGGCCGATCAAATCACACACTCAAACATAACTAACATCTTTTGGTGCTGCCATCATTCCTATATCCACATAAATTAGCCGTGGAAAAATTGACCCATAACTATATAAAATCTAAATACCCACTATAAGTAGAATAAATCAATTAAATAAGAAAGTAGTACTACATATCTTACAAGAAACAGTTGACTCAAAACTATGTGCAAATAATATACAATAAAACCATACAGATGAGAAGGAAGAAAATAGAGAACAGGATCTTAAATCAAAGGTTTTTCTTTTTTTTTTTTTTTTTTTTAGAAATAAAAAATTGTTTTACCGTTCCCTTTGAAATAAAAGAAGTTTTCAAACACAATAAAAAACAAATGCAGGCCAATGGTTCTTGAACGTTGTATGCAGATGATTTTTATTTGTTTATTTATATTTTCAATTTATTATAAACTTTTCTTTTCTTTTTATATATTATCTAGTTTCATTTCTAACTATATTTATGAATATATTTCTTTAATTTATATATTTCACATTATTATACAAAGTTTATTTGAATGATAAAAAGAGGGAAGAACTTATTTAATATGATTTGTGGTTTTTCAAACTGAAAAAACTATATTATAAAATAATGTCACAATAATAAGAATCAAAGCACAAATAAGCTTTACTTTTTAAATATTTTTCATGTCACCGGAATGAAAATGATGTTGGCAATAAAGTAGAAATAATTGTAATAAACTAAATGAGCACAAAAAAAAATGCAAGAAATACATGTTTGGATATTTGTTTGGATCCACCTAGTTAAAATTCACTAAAAAAAATAGTATATTTGTATTCTTAAAGTTCACGTAGCTAACGTAATTCCATCTCTAATTCCGTCTCTAATATCATTAGTAACGGAAAAAGTGAATTTAAAAATAAAAAAACCAAGTTACAAAATTAATAATTTCTTGTAGTGATCACAGGTCCTACAGGCTACAATGCCCCATTGTGTTTGCCATCTTGCTCTTTGCTGAGTAGCCGAGAGACATGAATTGGTGCTTATTATCGGGAGTCATTCGGCAACCACTATCTTTGAATGCTACGTTCCTCAGGAGACCTTAGATTTGAGTCTTAACCAGCGAAGCATCCGTTTGTTAATGGGAGCCTTGTGTAGCACAGCATCCAGTATTGGGCTTCCAACAATGTTCAGGGAGCTCTTGAATGACCATATCCGGTCCTCCGGCCAAGGCATTTGGGGTTTTTTCTTCTGGCAAAGAAAATACACGTGAGATTATCAGTCAGACTCAATTCATAAAAATGAAAACAAATATTAAATTTGATTACTAAATCTGTACATGATGATCAAGGCATCAGACTTACCATCATAGAAAGCATAAACTTCACTGTCGTTCGGCCGTAAACAAGTTGTTGTGATGGCTTCTGGGATTTGGGTAAGGACAGCATCCCCTGCTTGATTCAGCCAGCAAAACATTTGGGTCGGGATATTAGAATACCAAAACATTAGCTGTCCTATACAATATGAATCACTATATGTTTTGTGGTATTCGTGTACACCTGAACCCAATTTCTCAGCATACTTTGGGCTGAGGTCTTGTGGAGTAATGTGAATGGGGGGAGATACTACTTTCTTGTATTTCTGAAAAAGGATGCATTTGAAGAATTAATTACTCATGCATAATTCAAGTTCAACAGGTCGGCATTTTGGTGTTGCGAGTTTGGAAGAACTAGAACTCACCCTTAGTCGGAGAAAACACTTTGTGCGCGCATATATGTGTATCACGTCACCAGCAGCATCATTCCGTCTTTTATATGTCGAATGTAACTTCCGCACCACATCCCTTAACCTGAAGCATATTGAAGAGAGTTAGATTATAAGGATTTATAGTATGATAGCATACTGAAGTGTAGCTAATGATAATTACCATTTTAAAGAGTTCTGGAACTTCGTCTGTTGGAAATCAGGACCAAATGACCCACGGGCATGAATCTTGGTCTTCAGATTCATCAATACTACTTTAAGATTCTACTCAAGACATACAAAATGTTCAACCAAAAAATGTTGGTATTTCTCAAGAAAATTTATTTTTTCAAATTCTTTAGTATGCAATCCCGAAACCTTCCAAGAAAAATACACTATCCCCTCTTACAATCATCACATCAAACTACTATGCAAGCACAAAATTTAAACACATACATATATACATACACACACCTTGAACTGCCACCTAGTAGTGTTGTTCTCAAGCACATCGATGCTCACATATGCAGCCCCAAAAACCTGATTACAAAAAACCTATATTCATAATCGAGTAATAGATGGAAAAAAAGGGACTTTTTGAGAGTTATAAGGGCATGAAAGGTACCTCATCTAAAGCATTATCAGGAAGCAGTGGCTGACTTTGGAGTGTGGTCGGGAGCTCCAACAGCTGCTCTACCGAAAAAAACTTTTTCTCACCTGTAGATAGGTTAGATATACAAATCAGTTGATAACAATTAGGGGGTCTGAAAGGCCAAATTATTGTATCTGTTCAACTAGTGTACCGGGGAAGTAGAGCGGAAGTTTATCGCATCCAATTACGATGCCTTCCCGCCACCACGCATCCACAATTGCTCCTACTTCAGGCCTTGCGTCCACAAAATCCCTATAGTCGGTGTATGTTTCCTTATTGATGGTGGAGTTTGATAAGCACAGGATCCAATGACTACTGCACCATTGATAGATACATGGTAGATTTTTGTCACAGTAAAAATATACTTGCTTTAAATCCTTAATCAATTCTAGAAAACTTACCTCATAGTAATATTTGATTCATCATCTGCAAAACCAACACCTTTATTGCCACCATGACATCTATCTATTCTCAATCTTCAGTCAGATCTTCTCTTTTTGAGTGGTGCCAAGATTTTCATTTTGCCTTTCTCATATCTTCATCTAAGCAACTAAAACAAACAAACAAAAATAGACAAGCAAGCAAATCAAATGAAAAAACTCAAAATCGCGATCTGAACCTTAGAGGCCTTGTCCCGCCGCCAAGAAAGTATACAATAACCCTAATCTTAAAATTGGTGATTTTTATAGTAGTAAAGGATGGTTCTAGAAGATTCTACATATTTTATTTATTTAATTTATTCTTTTCTACAATTTTTTAAATGTAGCTTTTTGGCGGATGATTCTAGAAGGCTTATATATATATATTATTTATATTTTAAATTGATTCTAGATTTTTGTACAAATTTTTTATATTAGCCGAAATAGTGAATCTTTTACAATTTAATATATTTACAATATTTTTATAAATAAAATTCTTTATGTCTTTTATTATTTAATTTATTAAGTTTGTTTTGGATATTTTTATTTTTATAAATATTTTTATATTTAGTTTATATATATGAATTTTTTATAATTAATATATTTTTTTGTGTTTGTTTTTATTTTATATAAAAAATTTATGATTCAATAAAAAATATATATATTATTTACTCTTACAAAATATCACACAAAATATTATTTAAATAAAAAATCAAATTAAAAAAAAAAAAACTCAATTTCAATAATTCTATGTTAATCACATAAATAGTATCATAGAGTGATCAAATCACACATAAACATAACTAACATATTTTGTCAAGTCTTTCTTTCAATATCCACGTAAATTTAGCACTTGCAAAATTGATCTATAACTACATAAATATACACTATAAATTAAATCAATTGAATAAAAAATAGTATAACGTACCTTACAAGAAAAAAAAGTTTTTTATTCAATCAAAAAACAAAAGTTGATTTTTTATTTTTAGATTTATCTACTTTCAATATCCAGAGTCGGCCTTAGGCCCGGGTGGGCCCAGGTGAGAGGGGCGTCCGCCCAGGGCCTAATCTAAATAAAGGCCCATAATATATTTATGTTATGTATAAAACATTTATATATACATATTATTTGATTTTAATATATTAATAGAACGAGATTTTGGGTTCAAATCCATGTACCCTAAAAATTTGAAAGTATATTTTAGGCAAAGTTAATATTAATTAATACTATTATTAATATTTTGCATATAAAAATATTAGAAATTTTATTTTATTCAATTGTTTATATTTTATTATAGATAAAAAAATATATTATTTATAAATATTGTTTAGACAAAATTAATATTAATACTATTATTGATATTTTATCTAAAAATATTAGAAAAAGCTATTTTATCTAATTATTTATATTCTATTATAGGTAAAAAAATATATACTTCATCTTCCCCTTATCTATCTATCTGGTTGTTCCTCGGGTACAGTCAGGAATCGGGAAAGAGCATTCTTGTGTACGAGTTCATGCATAACGGGACTCTTCGGGAGCACCTTTACGGTAAGAATGTCGTGGTTACATTTCCGTGAATCGGTTAAGGTTGTCTGAGCTGAATACGGATATATCGACAGGGACATTTGATCGCGGACAAGGTATTGATTGGATAAAGCGCCTCGAGATTGCCCACGACGCCGCGAAAGGTTTGATATCTATCGTTCAAATCAGCTCAACAAAAAAAAAAAGATCGGAAAAAATAAACATCATTCGCTATGTGTTTCAGGAATCAAGTGCCTTCACGTCGGCTGCGTGCCATCGATCATCCATAGAGATTTGAAGACGAGCAATATCCTTCTCGACAAGAACATGAGAGCTAAGGTCGGAGATTTCGGTCTTTCGAAAATCGCCGTCGATGGAGTGTCCCGCGTGTCCAGCGTCATTCGAGGAACCGTCAGCTATCTCGATCCTGAGTAAGCTTCGATACGGAAAATCCCAATTTATTTTTCTAAACCCGTCTCCGATTAAATCGATCTCGGCACCGTTGCAGGTATTACATCTCCCAGCAGTTAACCGACAAGAGCGACGTCTACAGCTTCGGAGTCATTCTTCTCGAGCTAATATCCGGTCGGGAAGCTATATATCTCGAACGAAAGCTTCGGCAGCAACTGCAGAAACATCGTCCAATGGGTAAGGCAATTGCGATTACAGCAAAATTATTATTTTTATTTCGATTATATATATCGAACTCGTTTTCAGGCGAAGATGCACATGGGTAACGGCGACATACGGAGTATCATCGACCCGACATTGCAGAGCTACGAAAGCCAGTCGATGTGGAAAATAGCCGAGAAAGCTTTGATGTGTGTGCACGCAAACGGGAGCGCTCGACCGCCGATTTCGGAAGTGGCTAAGGAGATCCAAGACGCCATCGCCGTCGTGAAAGGCGCGGAAATCAATTCGGGCGAGGTATCCCGACATTCTGCCCATTCTTCTTCTTTAAATTTGCCTGCCGTCGAGCTGCAGCATTTATCGGTAGAAGATTACGTAAACCAGCCGACGCCTCGATAGAAACTTCGTACACAAGTGATGCTCTCTAACCATTCTTTCGACGCTTTTTTTGTCGATTTTTTGTTTCGAATTTGGGTTTTTTTTTTATTCTCTGTTCTTGATGCTTATTGTACATTCCAAAAATTTGCGTTTTTCCAGCTTCAATTTCGTGTTCAAAGAGTGGTACATTTTGATATTTGATGAGAGTATAGGTAACTAAAGGATTTGGTAAGGTTGTGTGTATGCAGTGTATATGATTTTTTTAAGTGTCTGTGTCCCACATCGGGTAATTAAAGAAGCTAGAGGATTTGGTAAGGTTGTGTGTATGAATAAAATAGAAAAGACTTGTCTAATATATTGTAAGTTGTAAGAGTATTTTTAATGTCAGTAGAAAATACTGTTACCAAAAAAAATAAAAAATGGATAAATTGTTAAGGGACGGAGGAAATATATCATTTATAAGGGGTTTTTTTAATTTTATTCTAATTTTTAATTTAATTTAATTTTATTTTTTTTTGCATTAAGAAGAAAATAAGTATTAGACAAAATTATTATTACTATTAGGAAAAATTATCAACAACTTTCTTGTTGTTTTAAAATTTAGCGTAAATCTTCTCTATAATTTATAAATTGCATGACACCCTCGTATACTTACAAAATTGTTGAATGAAACTTCTTTTTATATTTTTTGGATGATGAGAAGATGATTTTTTGTTTACATTTTTTTGCATGATGTGAGTTTCATATAACATTTGTTAAAGTACAAAAGGACTCCTCACAATTTTTAAAGTACATAAAAATTTTATGCTAAGTTTCAAAATTACATGAAAATTATGAACAATTTTGCGTTATATATATATATATATTTAAAGACCCTTAATTTTTATTTCGCCCCGGACCCTTCAAAAGTTAGGAACGGCCCTGTCAATAATAATAATAATAATAATAATAATAATTAATTTTTAATTTTAAAACTTTAAAATTATAATATATATTATATTCATACACTCCATGTCATATATATAAATATATGGTGATACATTATTTATGAGATTTTAAATCTATATATATTTTTATACAGTATGATTTGTAATTTTTGAAAACAAAAAAACAGCATCATAAAATAATATCACAAGAATAAGAATTAAAGCACAAAAAAACCTTAGTTAAATAATATCACAAGAATAAGAATTAAAGCACAAAAAAGCCTTATTTTGTAAATATTTTACATTTCACCGACATGAAAATTATGTTGACAACAATGTAGAAATTGTAATAAAACAAATAAGCAACACTAATAATACTTACAAAATATTATATCTAATAATTATGTAGATACAAAGTTGATGAAATACCCAACTTGATAAAATATGACCTCAACTATATATATCTAACTTTCTACGAGAAAAATGTCCTTCCAGAATTTTTATGGAGTCCATATAAAAATAAAAATGAATCCTTACTAATTTTTTTTTTTTATGAAATTAATATTTTTTAATCATTTGTTTTATTATTACTACTTTTTTTTTTAGTTTATTTGATATTGTTATCAATAAAAATATACTCTTTTAATTCATAAAAATATCATATTAAAATAATTTAAATAAAAAAAAAACTCAAATTTCAATGCAACCAAAGACATTATACATATATTTTATAAATTTGATTTATATATAAATATTTTTTTTAAAAAAAAAAAAATGAGAGCCCAAAATTTTGGGGCCTCAGGCGTGGGCTCAGGTGACCCATGCCCAGGGTGGGCACTAATGACAAGGCATTTGATTTGGGATGAGGCAAAGTTCTCGACTATATATCTAACTTTCTAAGACCAAATGCCTCCAAACAAACCCGACACCAACGGCTTCAAACTATTAGAAA